TATTATATTTAAATTATATAGTATTTATATAAATATGTTATATACACATGTAAATATATAATCATATCTGTGTGTATATATAATTAGGAGATACGACCAGGAGGCCCAACACCTAACCAGAGTTCAGAAAGGAAAAAGATAAAATAAAGGGAAATGGGTGGAAGTTCACATCCCAGGTGACAGAATCTTCCAGTTCCCCTTTCCCTGCTTAGCTCCAGAGTGCTAACAGCTAATCTCCAAAGGCAGGAGATTAGAGGGTTCTTTTCTGGATAAAATGGCTGATTTCAGTTAACTAAATTTGCCTTATCTTTGCTATTGTTTTTTTTTTTTTTTTTGGTCTTTTTGAGCTGTTGTATTTTTAATTTTCAAGATCTCCTAATGCTCAATTTTCATAGCGTACTCTGATATTTCATTAATGTAAAAATTTATTAATGTTTTAAAATAGTATCTTTTTATATGTATATAAAAGGGTATGCATACGTGTATGTGTATAGGTTTTTCTGATCTCTGAATTACCTCCATTTTCTCTAAGTAACTTGTTAGTAGTCAGAGTTCTGGCTCTTATTATAGTCTTTCCTGGATATCTGATTATCCTTGGTTAGAAAGGAGACTGTATAAGAGGGACTGGGAGCTATGTGGGAACCGGTAGATCTTAGAGACTTCTGGGCACAACTTTGAGGTGTGTCCTAGTTTCTTTCCTGTTGCTGTGATAAAATACCCTGAGAAAACCAACTTTAAGGGAGAAATGGTTTATCCAACTCACAAGTCCAGGTTACTGTGGATCATTTTGGGGAAGTCAAGGCATGAGCACCAAGCTGCCAGCCACATCCACTGTGCTCAGCTCCCTTGCTCCTTTTCATTAGGTCCAGGGCTCAGCCCAGGAAGTGGTGCTCTCCACATTTAGGATGGGCATCTCAATTAACCTAGGCATGCTCACAAACCAACCTAATTTAGACAATTTGCCAAAGAAAACTGTAACAACAACAATAACAAAAAACTCTAAGCAGAAGCTGAGCATGGTGATATAAGTCTGAGGTCCCTGCACTTAGAGACCAAGATAAATCCGGGAGTTTGAGACCAGCCTGGGTGACACAATAAGATAAACAGGAGACTGGAGAGATGGCTCAGTCATTAAGAGCGCTTACTGCTCTTCTAGAGGACCTAGGTTTGGTTCTCAGCACCTACTCAGTGACTAAAAACCCTCTAGTTCCTGTAGTTACAATGCCCCATTCTGGCCTCTGAGGGCACTGCATGCACATTTTACACTTACATACATGCAGGCAAAACATTCACACACATTAAAAAAAAAAAAAAAAAAAAAAAAAAAAAACTAGGGCAGTCTCATGCCTTTAGTCCCAGCACTTGGGAGGTAGAAGCAGGAGGATCTCTATGAGGCCAGTCTGATCTACATAGTGAGATCCAGTCTCAAAAACAAACAACAGGGTGCTGGAGAGATGGCTCAGTGGTTAAGAGCACTGACTGCTTTTGCAGAGGACTTGGGTTTGATTCCTAGCACCCACATGGCAGCTACGAACCGTCCTTAACTCCAGTTCCAGCAGAATCCAAAGCCCTCTTCTGACCTCCACGGCATTGTGTGACAGGGGTGCACTCACATAAATGCAGGCAATACACTCATACAGATAAAATAAAAATAATAAATAAAATATTTAAAAAACAAACAACAGAGAGCGAGGTGGCGCTCTCCCGTAGTCCCTGCACTTGGGAGGCAGAGGCAGGTGGATCTCTGTGAGTTCAAGGCCAGCCTGGTCTACATAGTTCCAGGCCAGCTGGTGCTACAGGGAAACCCTATTTCAAAAAAAAAAAAAGCCCCCAAACAAACAAACAAGGGGGGAGGAGCAATTGGGGGAAGAGGCGGGATGACTATTATAAAAATTCCTTGTATACATGAATGTAGTTCTCAAGGAATAGATAATAGATAAGGGATTTAAAACAGAGTATACCACCTGCAGGTGGTATACACCTTTAATCCCAGCACTCCAAGCCAGCTGGGACTACAAAAAAGACCGAAAACAAAAAAACAAAACAAAAAACCCTTCAAAAAATAATAATATAAATAAATAAAACAAAGACAGCAATTAAAACATTCTAAGTACAATAAAATAAAGTACCTCTATTGAGGGTTAGGCACTGCAAACTGCCTATAGCCAGGAAGGCCTCTTACTTTGAGATAGCTGGTTGGTAGGGGATTATTGCTGCTCAGTCACCAGAAGAAAGGGGGCCCCAGGAGCTAGCTCTTTGGGCTCTTGGGCCACAGTGGGGAAAGCTGCCCCCTGGGGTGTGGGTGTGTGGAGGGGGAAGTGAAGGTGCTGGCTCCAGCGCAGTGTAGCTGTGTGACTGAGGGAACAGGATAGGACTCTTCCAGCTCTGACAGGCCAGAATATGATGCTAATTCCCAAGCAGCAGAGATTCTGTCTGTGCAGTGGCTGCAAAGGATTTTCCCCACAGCATTTTACATTCAAAACAAGAATAATTAAGGCAATGAAGGACCTGGTTATAGTTCACTGTATTTCCTTTGATGATGAGGTAACTACCTGGAAGTGATAAGTAAAGTGAAGGGGTGGGAATTCCAGGAAAAAGAAACAGAGCTGTTATTTCAGTACGCACTAGTGAAATCTCAAGGCTGTTTGCTGTTGATAATCAGGTTAAAGACACTTCAATTATATGTGATGAATCCATAGCACTTTATATCTGTGGATCTCATTGAATAGAATCTCAGAGTATAGAGTTGAACTTTGATGCCAAGAAAAGAAAAAGTGCTTTTTTAGACCAAGCTGGACTTGATCTCACAGAGATCTGCCTGTCTCTCTCCCAAGTGCTTAGATTAAAGATGTGTGCCACCAGGCTGCCCCAAAAGTCCTCTTTCTTAAATATGTCTTTTTTTCCCCCTCCCTCCCTTCTTTCTTGCCTTCCTTCTTCTCTTCCTTCCTCCCTCCTTCCCCCTTCTTCCTTCCCTCCCTCTCTCCCTCCTTTCCTCTTTTTATTTTGTTTCATGTGTGCTAGCCAAGCACTCTACCACTGAGCTACATTCTCTAGCCATTTTCTTTTCCGACAAGGTCTCACTTCCTGAATGCTGGAGTGTGAGCTTATAGACTTCATTTTATTTTTTATTTTATTTTGTTTTATTTTGTCTTTTTGAAACAGGGTCTCCCTGTAGCCCCAGATGGCCTGGAACTCACTATGTAGACCAGGCTGGCCTCGAACTCACAGAGATCTGCTTGCCTCTGCCTCCCAAGTGCTAGGATTAAAGGCTTGCGCCACCATGCCCATCTTAATTTTATTTTTTAGATGGACTGTTTCACAGATTTGGGTGTTATCCTTGCACAGGGGCCATGCTAATTTTCTTTGTATCATTCCATTTTAGTATATGTGCTGCCAAAGCGAGCACTCATTCATTTTACGTTACTCAAATCACTAAGAAGCGCTTCCTGAAGTTCACCTGAATTTTCTTTTTCTGGGGTTGGAACCCAAAGCTTCTTGCATGTTAAGTACATGGCTTACTACGGAGCTACACTGCTGCTGCAGAGCTGAAATCTTTACTTCATGTAGCTGTTCGTCCTAGCTTCACTGGCTAGGGCTTCAAAACATACCTGTGCTCTCAAGTTGCTGATTTTCAGAGCAGTTTTGTACCATGTCTAATTAGGTCCTCATAGTGTTTAAAGGAATCTGAATTTAGTTTCTAACACTAAAGCATCACAGATTTAAATTCTTCTTAGATTTTATTTATTTTTATTTGATGTGTATGTTTTGTCTGCATATGTAAGTATACCATGTGCATGCCTGATGCCCACAGAGGCCAGATGAGGGCATTTAGGATGGGTTTTACAGTGCTTTTAACCACTGAGCCATCTCTCCAGGCCTGGGATTAAAATTTTTCATGTAATTAATTAATTTTATTTAATATTAGTATTGTATGTGTATGACATGCATGTGTGAGTGTAAACATGTTCATGCAATGGTGGGTGTGCAGTGGTCAGAGGACAACTTTTGAGAGTCAGTTCTCCTCCATGGGTGTTAGGGACTGAAATCAGGTTTTCTTGACAAAACTTTTACTTGCTGAGCTATCCTACTGGACCTAATTAATTAATTTTATTATGTATCTTTGATTTTTTTCTAAAATTTTTATTACATTACCTTTTTTATGTGCGTGCATGTGTGTGGGGTGTGTGTGTGTGTGTGTGTGTGCATGTGTGTACGCACACGTGCACAGAGGACAACTTGCAGAAGTCAGTTCTCTCCTTCCATCATGTGGATGTGGGTCCTTGGGATTGAACTCAGGTTGTTGGGCTTGGCATCAGGTGCCTTTACACACTGAGTCATCTTAATGAACTCTCTCTCTCTATATATATATGTGTGTGTATATATATAAATATACATATATATTATAAATAGATTTTATTTATTTATTTTATTATTATTAATTTTTTTTATCCTTTTGAAACAGGGTTTCCCTGTAGCCCCAGCTGGCCTGGAACTCACAGAGATCCGCCTGTCTCTGACTTCCAAGTGCTGGGACTACAGGTGTTTGCCACCATGCCCAGCTTGATTTTATTTTTATTTTATGTATATGAGTGTTTTGTCTGCATATGTAAGTGAACCATGTGCATGCCTGCTAATGCCCAAAGAGGCCAGATGAGAGTTTTTAGGATGGGTATAATAGATAGATAGATGATTGATAGATAGATAGATAGATAGATAGATAGATAGATAGATAGATAGAGACAGACAGACAGACAGACAGACAGACAAAGACAGAAAGATGTAGATGTAGATATATAGATATATATGACAAGGTGTTCTGTATCTCAGGTTGGTCTCAAATTTACTGTGTAGTTGAGAATGACCTCAATTTCTAATCCTCCTGCCTCTATTTCCTGAGTGCTGGGGTTACAGGCTGTGCCATTATTCCAGGCTTTTTGTTTATTTGTTAGAGACAAGGTCTCCCTGTAGCCCCAGCTGTCCTGGAACTCACTATGTAGACCAGGCAAAACTTGAACTCACAGAGATCCACCAGCCTCTGCCTCCCAAGTGCTGGGATCAAAGATATGTGCCACCATGACTGGCATTTCAAGCTTTTTTTAAAAAAAATATTTTTATGGGGTTGGAGAGATGGCTCAGCAGTTAAGAGCACTGGCTGCTCTTGCAGAGGACCTAGGTTTGATTCCCAGCACCCACATGTCGGCTAACAACTGTCCAATTCCAGTTCCAGAGGAATCCAACACCTTTTTTTGTTTTGGTCTTTTTTTTTTTCCCCCTTTTTTCAGACAGGGTCTCCCTGTAGCCCCAGCTGTCCTGGAACTCACTATGTAGACCAGGCTGGCCTTGAACTCATAGAGATCCGCCTGCCTCTGCCTCCCAAGTGCTGGGATTAAAGGCGTGGGCCCGCCACCACGCCTGACTTGTTTTGGCCTTTTAAAGACAGGGTCTCCCTGTAGCCACAGCCGACCTGGACTTGCTATGGAGGCCAGGCTGGCCTCAATCTCACAGAGATCCACCTGCCTCTGCCTCCCACGTGCTGGGATTAAAGGCACGTGTGCCACCATGCCTGGCCTGATGTGTTCTTCTGATCTCTGAGGGCATTGCACGACACAAGTGTACTACATTCATACACATAAAAAAATTTTTTAATATTTTATTTATTATTTTTATTTTATGTGTATGAGTGTATTGCCTGCATGTAATGTGAGTGCACCAGTGTCATGCAATACTGCGGAGGTCAGAAGAAGACTTTGGATTCCCCTGGAGCTGGAGTTAAGGATGGTTCATAGCTGCCATGTGGGTGCTTAGAATCGAACCTGGGTCCTCACCAAAAGCAGTCAGTGCTTTTAACCACTGAGCCATCTCTTCAGCCCCCCAATTTAAAAAAAAAATTTTATTATTTTTATTTTATGTGTATGTGTGTATTGCCTGCATGCAGGTAAGTGCACCCATGTCGTGCACTGCCCACGGAGGACAGAAGAGGCTCTTGGATCCCTGGAACTGGAGTTACGGACAGTTGTTAGCTGCCATGCAGGTGCTGGGATTCGAACCCGGGTCTTCTGCAAGAGCAGTGTTCTTAACCACTGAGCCATCTCTCCAGCCCCCATAAAAATTTTTTTAAAAAATTATTTTATGTGTATGTGTGTAGTGCACCAGGTATGTATGTGTACCATATGCATCAGGTACCTGCAGAGACCAGAAGAAGGCATTGGTTCCCCTAGTACTGGGGTTAAAGGCAATTGGCAGCTGCCTTAATGTGGGTGTTGGGAACCAAACCCAGATCCTCTGCAAGAGCAGCAAAAGCTCTTAGCCACTGAGCTGTTTCTCAACCCTTCCACTTTTCAAAATAGGGGCTTGATCAGCTCCTATGGGAAAAAAATCAGCCAGTTGTCCAACTTTAAAGCCTAATAACCACAAAAGGACTGGTACAACAAACTATATTGGTGCTGTAGTGGTACTTTAATTTTGGGAGTGATCAACAGTTATCTAGTTAGACTTTAAAGCCCTCTCAAGGGGCTGGAACTCATATGTGGCACTTTTGTTGTTGTTGTTTTTGTTTTGTTTTGTTTTGTTTTGGGCCTTTTGAGACAGGGTCTCCTTATGGCCTCAGCTGGCTTGGAACTTACTATGTAGATCAGCCTGGTCTTGAACTCACAGAGATCCACCTGCCTCTGGCTCCTGAGTGCTGGAATTAAAGGCATACGCCACCAACGTGGCTCATATGTGACACTGTAACTATTGCCAAATACACATGGTTAGATAGTTCATAGAGCCTAGGGAAAATCCTACATACATCACATCCCTAGACAAACATAATTTCTTGCTGTATGCAAAATATGGACTCTTATATTTACAGACAAATATACCATTCACTACTTATCAAAGAAGCTTCTTTTTGCAACAGATAGAAACTGTTACAGAGTTCCACAACTGGTCACACACAGAGAATAAGTGTCTGTGAGATGCCCAGCCGTAAGTGACATCTACAATGGAATCTCTACACCTAAGTCTCACAGAACATAGTGGAAAAGGGGGTACAGAAATGTATCTCTCAACTGTTACCAGCAAAGTTTCCTCTTGCAACAGAGGGTGATGCACACAGAAGGCCACAACTGGCCAAAGTGTAGAGAATAAGAGATCACAGAGTGTGTCCCTGGTTAAGACTCCTATAGTAAACCTCACCCACCCTCGGTTCAGGGACCATTGTGGAAGAGGGGGTGGAAAGATTGTAAGAGCCAAGGTGGTGCATGACCACAAGGAAACAGAGCTTACCAGACTTCTGGGAACTTGCTCATATGAACTTACTGCAACGATGACAGTGTGCACAAAACCCATACACACTCAATCAGACAAAAACCCAACATAGAACTTGGAAAATAGGCAGGAGGCCCCAACCTTAGTCAAGGAACTATTGGCAACTGATTACTGCTGGATGAGGGACAGTTTATCTTCTTTAAAGGAGTGACTCTAGATAGGCTGACTAGACTCCAGGGACATCTGGGTACAGAAACTTGATTTGATAGGCCTTAACATATATGACAAAATGCATGAAATCCCATGGGCAGACTATGGTGGAGGTGCAGATAAAGGAAGGGGTCTAAATATGATTAAGATGCATTGTATGAAATGCACGAAAAATCAATAAAAATGTACACTGAAAAAAATACAGACTTTTTTTTTTTTTTTTTTTTTTTTTTTTTTTGGTCTTTTTGAGACAGGGTCTCCCTGTAGCCCCAGCTGACCTGGAACTCACTATGTAGACCAGGCTGTTCTGGAACTTACAGAGATCTGCCTGCCTCTGCCTCCCAAGTGCTAGGACTAAAGGCATGTGCTACCACACCTGGCTATGGACTTGTTTTTTAACCCGGGCTAGCCTCAAACTTTAGGATTCAAGTTTCTCTTGGCCTCAGTCTTTGGAATGCTGGGATGGTTTGTCTGCTTTGTTTTTAGACAGTCTCATTATGTACCCCTGGCTGGCCTGAAATGCTCCATCTTCCTGCCTCAACCTCTTTGAGTGCTGGGATTATAGGCCTGTGTACCATGCTTGACCAGATGAGTTGTTTTCAAGAACCTAACCTATTAGGACAAGCGTTGTTTCTTCGATTTGAGGAGTATAGCTGTGGGAAGAGCTGCCAAAGAGGACTTCCAAGATGAGAGAGCCCTCAAGAGTAGTGACCACTAGACAGTTTTTGTGTATGATAAAATTCACAGGCCCATCTCAGAGGATACAGTTCAGTGGCTTTCAGCACCTTCACCATGAGCAAACCCACTGCTGCCTAGATCCAGAACATTTCATCACAACAAAAGGAAACCTGTGCCCATTAAGTAATCTCTCCTTGGCAAGCATGAATGTTTCTGTCTCTGTCAATTTGCCCATACTGGATATTTCATATAAATG